TTTGCTAACTATACACCCAACGTTTTTCTCCCTTCTTTTAGTCACGAGTCTTTTTAAGCTAGTTGGAAGTAGCGGTACCTGAGACCTGTCGAGAGCGAGACAAAAAAGCCGATCGCCAGATTGGCATCACGAAAAAACAAATTTAAATCCGACTCAAATGAGGCTTGCAATCGGTTACCTTCGACTAACCGAGGATTTGGCAAAAGCTGTGCAAAGCACCCTCCCAGAATTTCTCCCAGAAACGCTTAGCAGCTCTGAGGTGTCTACAAAAAAGTGTACAGATATCCAGCCAGGCGAAATGAGAAAAATCTGCACTCATTTAAGCTTCTGCATGCAGCGCTGACACAGTTTTAAGGATAAGTTGCAGAGAGTCAGGCCAATACTTACCCAAAATGCCAATGACTACGAATTCAAATTGCGTAACCTCAAACTGGCAAAGTTGTTATGTGTGCGACACTGAAATAACAAACGAAATGATGGGAGGCCACACGGACTTACACGCAAGAGGTTGCAAGCCTATCTACATCAACTCAAAGCAAACCCACAATCCATATTATTAACATAGTAAAGAAAAAATCCGAACAAAAACGATTTTACTGACATAAGCAAAAATCCACCCCAGTACATTTTGTAGATAAGTCCTTTTTTAGTCTATCGTATACCACCACCTCCTTCCCGAACAATCCAGTCTCTATAACGTGCAATTACGGATCAGAGAAAAATCAAGCTACTAGAGTATGCAGTTCATACAATCCAGTACGACGTAGAGCTAAGTGGGCTTCGGCTACTTCGCAACACGCAAAATTGAGATAAAATGAGGAAGAAACAAACCCACCACATTTATTCCAATCTAACTATATCTTTCTAATCTGTCATAATCGACATTCGTCATCTTTTGCCCAAATTAGGTCAACTTTCCACATTTATGTTTATGAGATACCCCGATATGGCTTTTATTACTGAAACCTAGTGTACATCAGAAAATATTGATTCTCAGTTTAACACCTTAGGCTATAAAGTTTTCCGTCAAGTTCGCTCACACAAACGTGGTGGTAGCTGTGCCATATACCTTCCAATTAACCTGTCTGGGATTTGTGTAGAACAATATGTATTCCATGTCTTAGAAGATACACTATGGGTCATAATCCCACTTATTGATCTTCTAGTGGATTGTATCAATCGCCTGCCCGAAATACTCATTGTGAAACACAAAAGCTACTCGATATGGTCAATGCTTCTTCCAGCCCCACATGCAATTCCAAAATTATGTGTGGAGATTACAACGTACCACATAATAACTGGATGCTGCCTGCACTCAGAAACACTGCAGGGGTTGAGGGAATGATCTTATGTATCCACCTCAATGGTTGGACTTGCATATTAGAGAGTCAACTAAAAATGTCACTACCCTACCTTGTATCCACGCTGGGGATTTACATTCGTTTGTCTACTCATTGATAATCCACTATCGGGCTTTGAACACAACATGGTGCTTCGGGATATGACGACTGAATCACCTGAACCATCAGGTAAGATGCTAACACCAATACGCAACCTCCAGCATGTGAACTGGAATTCATTTAATGAACTTATCAATGCTTTGAACTGGAACACCTCATTCCTGGCTCACAATTCCACATTGGCTAAAACGGAGTTTAGTAACAATATTGCTCTGGGTGGAGATCTACTGGCACCTATTGTATGTGGAAATACTTTGAACACAGTAGTAAACTCACCCTTCTGTAAAAAGCCACAACCGAAAATGAAGCAACTTAAATCACTTTATCGCAAGAGCAACAGCTTCTCAAGATTCCTACAAATACATGGCGTTCTGCTTCACCTACAAAGTCTGACAGAAACGGTCAAATTCAAAGAAGAAAGTCGGGTAGTTAGAAATCCTGAGCAAGTACGTACATGTATGCAACTTCTCAAAAGCAGGAACCCTAAACACCATCAAGAAACTTAACCATCTTCTCTGGACCATGGTTCAATAACACGGGACATCTGCAAATGCGAGGCCATCAACTCTCATTTTTCCTTCGGCTTTGTCCATAGCACCCAGCTGTTCCGTTTTCCACTCCCAAAAAGAACGAACGAGCTACTCTACAATATTCTTGTGACGTTAACAGAGGTGCAAATTCGCATCGCATCCATAAATCCAACCACTCATCCAGAACCCGATGGCATCTTCCCAACTGCCATAAACCTAGTAGGAAAAAATATTTGTCGACTGTTAATAAAGATCTTAAGTAGTTCTCTCACTAAAAGCTGCTTCCCATCTCAATCATTATAATGCCTTAGCACATGGGTTACAAAATGCAGCGTCAAGCTATCGCTCTATAAATCACAGCACTGCGGTTTCCAAAGCCCTAAAGAGAATAGACAAGAAGAACATTGTGTAATTCCCTACAATACTGGGTCTGGTCAACCCTCATTACATGGCTTTCTCACTAAACAATTTTGCGTTACATGGCAATTACAATTCTTCACTCATGTCACGACTATGATTGACAGAGGTTTGGCAATCAACATAATTCCGTTGGGCATGCCGAAGGCGTTCGACCACGTGCCGTACAAACCAACGCTGTCTGTTCTGGAGTCACATGGCATTGGAAGGCCTCTACTAAACTGGTTCGACTTGTACCTAAAACGTAGAAGTCTGGTAGTCAGAATCCGTCAGCAATTACGACAAACAAATAACCAGCTGCGTCTTCCAGAGAATTGTGCTCGAAACACTACCCTTTCCTTAATAACCTAATAAATGCATCCGATCTGATCAAACTTGGACACCCATTTCTATTTCCAAATGACGCCAAACTGATCTAATATTTTCTTACAGACCAGCTACAAACGTGTTTGAGAAGAATCTATGAAGACCTCTCCGCACTAAATATAGCTAGTGAACGTCCGTTAATGAAGTTTTCCACTGTAAAATCCCACGTACTTGAGTACAGATGCCGCATTCCAGAAGGCTTTATCACATTTGCCGAATGCGTGACTCCGACATCTAATTCTGTTCGAGAATTAGGAAATAGGTACTCGAACTTTTGATTTCTCCGAACATATCTTTATCAGGTTGCAAAAGCAAGGCAGCTATGCGGATATATCACTGGGATTATTTCCCTGCCTGAAACACGATTTGAGTCATTAGAGATACTTGTACAACCGTGTCTGGCATACTTTACCATCGTTCACAGCCAAATGAGAAAGAATGACAGAACAACTGTGGAAAATGTCCAACAAGCATTTGCCAACCTGGTCTCGCGGAGCTGCTCAAATCTGACTAATTATGATCGCTGTCGACAACTCCAAATGTATATTCTTTGGCTGTGACTCTTAAAGAACAATATTCTTCTCTTCTACAACATTATTAACCAAGGAATTTACGCAGACGGCACCGCAGTTGAACTACGAAAGACTGCAATCTACCCCACACGAAATGGCGGTTAGTTGATTTGCACACAGTTTGCAAGTAAAAATATTTTGATCGAATTGCTTCTTAATGAGATTCTTTCTATTATGGCAAAAATTTCCCCTACAGATAGGCATGAGTGCTAACCGTGTTACATTGCGAAATTCCATGCATATGTTCCTTACCATATCAAATAGATACATTGACGGAAAATAGTGATAACATATGTACAGCTAGTTGCTTACTACCGTTTGTCCACTCTATGTCATTACTGACAAAACTAAATCCACTGTCTGTGCAACCTATCATCATATTCAAATTATCATCTACTAATGAGCCTTCCAAAAACTGGAAAATAGTGACACAAATATCGGTAAATTTTTCATGCTACGTAACTGGTGCTAGGACCCGGAAGAACATTCATTTCAAGAAATCAACTTTTCACTTTTATTTTACCACTAGGAATTTAGGTCGCAAAAACCATGAAACCTATTTACTGCTCATATGATCGCTCCAAATCGTGCGGACGCATAACGCTTGTCGGTAAATATACACAATTATCTTAGTTTTTTATAATACTTAGCAAATTGACGAACTTAAGAATCACTCTGTTGTGTATAAGTTATCTTTTTGTTGAAGTTAAAAGCAACGCACATTTGCTAGTTCTTGAATGCGGCTTGCGATGTAAATGCCTTAGCGACTGGGTCATTTTTCCAGGTTGTGCGTTTAATTCCACTTAGACTATCTTGACAAACCCCGCTCCATCTTCTTACAATCAGCGTCCTTGGTTTTTAATTGCATCGCCAGTATCTGACGCACCCACTGCAACCGTTAAAAACTTTAGTTCTTGCATTTTCTACAATTTAGCTATCCAACATGGGTTTAATCCATTCCGCTTTTATTGGAATTTCTGAGTTTTGTTTCATTTCTCAACAGTAAAAGTAAAGGATTTCTGTACGAGTTACGCATGTGTTCTCAATTTGTAATTGAGTTTCACCTAATCATAAAAAGGTTAACAAGCCAACTTTAGTCCACGCCGTGTACGATCAGATTGTAACTATAGTTGACTAACTGAATCATCATTATTCCTCTCACCGCTTGATCGAGCATATCATTAAACATTTGTTTAGTGATACTACAAACCTTCATTGTTCTGATCCTGTTGGGGATAATACTAAGAACGAGCGTTATAGTTCATATTTGCAATAATGAATTTATAATTCGTTGAGCACATTTTCGTCAACGAGATGTTTTCACTAATCAAATTTACAGTAACCGATAGCTGGAGATCCAGTGGTGTGTACTTTTGCAACATCTGTGAATACTACTTAGCTCCCTCACTAATTTCTGCAGTCCTACTCTGGGTGATGGTCAGAATTTATAACAAATAGTTTACCGCGAGTTATCCCCACGTTGTTCATACTGGTGTACGTTTCTCAGTAGCACTGAATAAATCGTTGTTTTACCTCATACATATTTATTATATAAAAATTTACCATGATGTCACAGGATAAATTCGTCAAGGAACTGTAAAATGTTGCATAATCAAACAGAGGTTTTACAGTGAAATTAGAGTACAACGGGTGAATCATAAAATTTCATTGAAGTGCATCATGTGAATCGTTGAACATAGAGTCAGGATAAAATAGCATCGGTTTCTTCTGGTTGACCCTGCAGCGAAAGTCAAAATTGGCGAAAGGCGATCAGTAAACTAAATAAACACAACGGCTGGTCTTATTTATGTCTGGTTGCCTTGAAGTTGCGAAACAAATTGATAATTTTCTTCCGCCGAGAATCAACATGAAATCTTATTTGTTATGTTCTATTACAGTAAATTTTAAGACAATGGCTTGCACACCTACAGCATCGTGGGTGGTGGATGGTGCAACCATGGGAATTGCTCTATGTAGCAGCATGTCACGTTGAAACGGACTACACGTTCTTAATTTACATGAATTATCTGTGTTTGATTAGCAGGAAATGCGTCGCTTATTCAGTGCAGACGGTTTTTGAGGTTAACATCATATGTCAAGGCAGACGCTTTTGCTAGGCTAATATTTTATGTACAGATGTAACTGCATTTAGAAATAAGGTGTACCAAAGAAGAAAGAGTTACAGTGAAAGAATGACAGTGTTTCAATAAATGTACACTAACATAGTTAAAATGCTAAAGGAAACACTTATTCACATCTGAATGGACGTTGGACTCTCATAAGAATTTAAGCTCAAACAAGTGTTGTTGACCGCAAGAGTGTATACACAAAAAGGCGCACAGCGAAAAGCAAACAGAGATATTTACGCACACGAAAAATGAGCACACATAGGAAAGCGCACACGAAGAGCTGTTCACAGTGAAAAAGACTGCATGAAAAATTTACGAGTTAAATCCGGCCCTTTTGCAAATTCTTTAGACTTGAGCATTTGGGATATTTGTAGCACTAACAAGACGCCAGTTCAACATTTGCATCCAACAGCCGAAGATTGTTACAGTACTACCCAAGCTACTTGGTAGTACGATCACTTGGCACCTAATGCACTGCGCTGTCTCAAAGCCAGTGTGATTCATCTATAATACTAAACAGAATGATCATCGCTCACCAACTGCCGTTTGCCGAGGACTAAACGAATCGGCAACTCAAAACAACATGGTAATTCGATTTGGCTTGCCTGGTTGGTGTTGGTGACCGCACCCACTATGCGGGACGCGAGCCAGCACAAAATGCGTTTTGATCGCTGGTGTTTGGATAGTCAAACCACAACCGAGGGATTATATGTGTGTGCATTCTTCCACGTGCCATTTCAATGTATGCGCATTTAAGACTGTGGGCTTTCTGATACGCGCTTTTCCGCGTTCACTTCCATCCTGCAGACACTTAAGTTTGCAAGTATAAAAGATATGCCCAAATTCAGTGTGTAAATGCCAATGTAGATTTTTGCCCCGAAAGAACACAACACGCAATCCGAAATCCCCCGAAATACATTAGCGCGCAACTTTGAGGCATACAGCCCAAACCAAGTTCAACCATTCCGTAGTAGTCGAACTGAACAAATGGCTACATCCGTCTCGAATAATTTACAAATTGTTAATTTTATAGTCTCACTGCCGAGAGATGTAAGCAGCTCTTATTTATGAACAACGAAAGAGCACACATTCCCTCTCAATCAATAAAGTGATGATGTTGTACTTTGAGCTGATTTACCATGCTCTGATCATCAAGTCCCAATGTTCCAGAAAACGAATAATTATAAACACCACTACACAGCGTTTGGCTGAATGAAGGTTACCTCTGATTAAATCAACTGATATCATTTGTTCACAATTTTATTGGAACACTTTTCCATCAGGGTAGCGACGTGTTCACTTTTGTCGCGTTCAGAATTTTGCAACGGCAGTCGAAATGCGCCATCATTTTACTCACACTGATGTATAGTTTAGTTGTTAGAAATAATTCAAATTATACATTTTCACAATTCATATGGATCCCTACACAAAGTACAATTCAATAACTCTCTTCAGAATGGAGGCTTATTATTGGCTTGAATTTTCCTCTGCGTTATATTTTTGAAATGTACTACTCGCCGTTCGAGGCACTTATGTGGACTAAATGTTCGTATACGACACGATAATTTTGCAAAGGTACATAAAGGCTGGGTATATTTCTAACGGTTGCAGGAAGAGGTTATCACGAGGGAAACACTCAGATTAAATGTATGACTGAGTCTGATGATGTCCACACGTAATCGATGGTAGGATAGGGCTTACAAATCAAGTATCTCGCGAAGCCCTTCGTAGACATTCCCCCCGTGAACTGGAGACAATCCTACTTGCGAGATGTTAGACAAGCACACCTACATAATCCTTGTGTTTGGAGGCTTGAATAGAATGCAAATGATTAGCGTTCTAGCAGTGCTCGAATAGCGAATGTGTCGATGCAAGTGACCTGCTTTTCCGATCACATGTGTTTAAGCTGACTAATTCCAATTTGTCTGAATCCACGGCCTATTGATTACAGAGGAAGAGCTCGTCTTAGTACGTAAGACGTTCGAGAGACAGATTGGGTTGTCACAAAAATGATAGTGTCCAATAACCTCAAATCTGCTCCGCAATAATAGGCAAAGATGTTTGTAGCAACTGGGGCACAAACTTCTGCTGTCCGGCAAAGATGGACTGTAGACCAGTTGGCGGAGTGGGCCACATCATTCTTCAACAAGCAACAACAGCAGTAATACATAAATCATTGAACTAGTGATTCAACGAAGTACAATCAGAGTGACCCAAGTTATGATAAATTTTGAGCGGGAACGTAAGGAGGATCTAGCGTAAAACCGAAATGCTTTAAGCCGATATTCATGACCAGTACGGCTACAGCTTGCTGATAAATTACCATTAGCAAAGACAGCCCCGGCGATGCAGCTTTCTTGCGCATGTTATTGCCTCACATCGTAATCAGTTTTAGTTCACGAATAACACAGTGTGATTACAAGTTAAACAGGCAATGCGGTTTAAAGTCACCAACAAAGCATTACCGGTGAGGACTGTGATCCGTGCCCTGGAGCGTCTGCAGCTAAGTATAATATGGGTCACGTGGCCACCAAACTAGAAGTTGAAACGGACAGAGCAAACTTAGTGTACGGTGACATTATCTTCTCGCCAATAAGTTCATGTTTGCCTAACTCTAGCTTTGCTCAATCCAATGGTTAGCCGGTGCCTGGTCCACGTAGCTCGCGATCAAGCCTGCTTCACTTGATCAAACTTATCGGTCAACTTAATTGCCTACTTACCTCCTCCTAGTAGTGAACGCGATGTTGCAATCCGACAGCAGTAATCCCTTTGCTAGCAACGATGACAAAAGGTTATGATTTGCTTCAGATCCTCACACCAAAGCGGCCAAACCTTGACCGTGAAATAGGACGTCACTCACCGCGACATAGTACATGCGGCTTTTCAAACCGAGCGAAGCAATATTCTGATGCTACCTATGTGGAGAAGCCTACAAAGGCGCTCCTAGCTCTAACCAGTATGAAGACATGTGAAGCACTCTTCGAGTTTCAGGTCGTCCGTATGCATTGTTGGTTGTGACCGAGGGAAGTAAAGATACTATTATTGCGGCTGAGGGGATAAACGGGTGTATATGTTGCCATGAATAAGAACACTTGTCAAGGGAAGCCGGGTTGCTAGATTATTACCCACTGTCCCGACGCAATTCCTTCCAAGGTGACGCCTATTTACTTACTGAAGCGTTGGGCCACCGTCGGTGCAAACAGTGTGTTTATAAATAGTAAGTCATATTTACCACCCACTAGCTGTAAAAGCTAATGGTTATCTTTGACATCGACAAGCTGTTCAGCCCCTTCAACCATCCGTTTCTCGACAACAGTATAGTTCGTCTACGCTAGTAAACATTCAAGGAAACGTGAGGTGTTGCTGCATTCCATCCGCAATTTATTCGAAGGAAAAAATTCTTTGCCATGTTATTCAGTAAAATGGGAAGCAAAAGCCTTGCCGGTAATCGTACACTTGATCATCTAACCACGGTTCCAAACGATTTTGCCACCATGCGTTGCGCCTCGTTTGAACAGACATTTTAGTCAGGGTTTGCTGAGTTTCTTTCGCTGTACACGAGATACTGTTCGATAATAACTTCGGGAGGCGCATAAGATTCCGTTAGTTTTGGCGTCTTCGTTGAAGCAAAAGTAGACGAGTGATTGACAAACGAGATGAAAACCGAACTCGATTTTGTTAGTGATCTTACATGTCCCGTTTTTCACGGAAAACCTTTTAATTGCTTGCTTGCAAGTGAGGCGACTCGCTAAAATCAATCCACTTTGTTCCGATGGTGCCACGGAAAATCTGAAGTTTGCTTAACTCTTCCTCGACATTTTTTGTTTGCGCTTAATACTGGGAGAGATTGGCGGCACACAATCTGAACTATTGTTTGGTTGGTAATAGAAACAGAACAGAACAGATAGGGATAATCAAATCACCCATAGCGTACACGCCATTGACAGATAAGAAACATTAGCGAAAAGCATCCCAAGCGGATTTGATATGTCAGTAATTCGGTTTGACAATCAGTTCTTGTTTGACCAAATTTTGCTCCCTCAAATAACGCGAGCAAAGGGGAACAACTGACGTACCTTAAGCCAGTGTTTGAGCAACAATGGCTCCATTTGTTTGACTGGTCGAGTAAATGCAGATATGTACAAACATGCGTTGTGGAGGAGTGAATGGCATCAGTGAGTATTCTGGATGCTAGTTTTTAAATATCAGTGAACATGATTAAATCTAATCATGCTAGTAGGCTTCAACATTGGTGTATCGCCAAAATCGAACAACATGCCTCAGTGATTCGTTGATCACTCCGAAATGCTTGGTCAATGGTCCAGTAAAAATCTCAGATTAGCAATACTTTCAGTGCGATAATATGCAAGTGCGAAGAAGCGGGAAGATTAAAAGCGAAGCATGGATGATGACCCGATTACGGCGACGAATTGTGTTCGTCTCCTGACTTTAGTGGATGTTACACCTGATTGGATTATGTGAGATCATGACTCAGTGTAACTCATAGATATTTCACTGACGTAACGAAGTTCAAACTGATACAATCATTACAGATACCGAGTGTGCATGAGGACTTGCTGACAAATATTTTCATTAGTACATCAGACATGATTGACAGCATGGTTTGGTCCACGCTTTGCATTTCTCCAAGAGGTATTACGATTTGGTCGATGAATCTGTGGTGTGATTGTGTGCACCAAGAATAGCGTCTTCAACATACTTTAGAAGAATAGCTTCCTTTGAAACATACTTGAACTAAGGTACGTGGAAATTAAGCATGAGACAGATGGCGCTCTGAACCACACAGAATGTCATGGTTAAGTATAAATAAATTTCTTCCTTAAGTCTAGTACACTGCGTAAATTTGAACATGCGGTCTGAACTACCAAATATTCATGTGGACTGAACTCCGGTAACGCGCAGTTAGTATAAAAGCAGTTCATGATTTATACAACCAAAAACGTTGTTGTAAACTAGGAAGCAAATACACGTAGGTTTGTGTTTGTCATCGGGTAACAAAAACAAAGTATGTGCATTTTAAGCGAATAACCTAAAGTGCACTTTGAACTACAGTAACTAAAAGGTATAAGATGATTGCAGTGTCTTTTGCAAATATTCTTCTAAAAAATAAAACTTACTTATCTTCAAAGCCAGCAGCAGACAAAATAAAAAGCCGATGTTCATTGACTCCTCTGTTCAGCGCATTTGAACCATTGGCACTTCTCCATCTGTCCTCTATCTTGTGTTGATGCAAACGCGTAGCGCACGTTTCAGAAAGAGAATGTTCTAAGTCATTAACATATTCTTTGTACAATAGTCGATGGTTGCTTTCGACCAGGTGCTTTACATGGCATCACCCGTTTTAATTCCGTGCTAGTCATTACGTTATCTATAGGCGATGGTGCTTATTGCGTGATTTGTATCGGAGTAGATCATAAGCTTATGGCTGGATCGTTTTACTGACTAAAAGTTTGTAAGTTATCTGTTACATGGAGAGAGCAGCAAGTTTGACGCTGCGGACGATCCCACTTAAGTTCCTTATCATTTTCTATATTTCCAAGGATAGTTTGGACATACTTATGAGAGACTGCAGACAGCCCGTAGTCTAAAGGCAACAACGGGTCTCGTAATCTGATGGCGCGTGTTAGAGCCATTCTTAGGAGCAAGACGACCCTAGCAGTATGCATAGCCCAAGTGTGAACTGTGGTGGTTACGCTGCACTGCGTACCAGTGTAGAGTTTACGCTTTCTGCATTTCAAGGTCTTGCTTTTCTTATGACAAATTGAACTAATACCTAGTTGTACCGTTGAAATTCTGTCGCAGAATCGTTCCTGCCACAAGGTGAGTACAGCTTTGTCTTTGAGATAAAGCGCATATAAATAAGAATCTGTGACTGTACTAAATCACTAAGTAATAAAAACTGACGAATTTAAATAGGATTGCGGTAAAGTACCGAAAAGTTGTGCGTGGATTGATAAACCGGTGGAAGTATGGAGTAGCCTGGATAGGCAAACACGGAAAAGGGTTGCAATTTTAATTCGAAGAACGTTCGGTACAGCAGAAGTTGGGTTTACTAATCAATGAAACATCAAATATTCCAACGACATCTACATGGATATATATTTTTTGGAACCAGAAAACGAGACTAAAGTTGTAAGATCTATGATATCAAATTGATGAGCATACATAGTAGTACTAAGTTTGCGATTTGTTAGAAGTAGCCTTGAATTGTTTGAAATCGTGAACTAAACTTTTAACACCGTAGTTAGACGTCATGATTCTAACCTATTGACTTACCAGTTACAGTTTTTTGTTCTGAGTTCATTTCCGTCGTTATGGATTGAGCATTATCTGACCATTTCAAAAGACAATATAGATATATAGATATATTTATATATTTACAACATGTGTATTTATTCCATTCTAACCATGGATATTGAACAAACTAAGATGCCTTTTATTTGTACTCTGCGGTTGCACCGATTTGTATGCCAAAGTGCTGTCTACATTCAAACAAAAGTGTACATTTCGCTACCGTTTGATATGCGCAATGATGTTTTGTAAAATTTGGGAATAACTAATCCAACATACTCCGATGAATTTGGTTGTTTAAATGGTTCTGCTGAAGTAATCTCAACGTCTCTCCACTTTCTTTTACTGAGTTAAAGGCACTCACAAACTATGTGTTCCTTTTTGTCTGTGGAATCATGATCACGCTTTCCCCTTCTACAGTAATCGTCATCTGAGCACGCAAATTACACCTTTCTCGTGCTAGACGACCGGCTGCTGAAAATATGCCAACTCAATTGCTGCTCTAGTCACGGCTACATCTGCAGGTTGTAACCGATTACAGCCTATTATTTTCAACATCGGTTTGTTATTTATGGCTTAAGTGTTCTGCTACTGTATGCTGTCACGCAGTATTTGCGCTTAGCAAATCGAACGTTTTCGACAACATGTTTATTTCGAACATGTGATGAAAATTTATCTAGCACTGCAACAGCCTATTGTCTGTTTGCTCAGCAATGAAACCCGCTGCCTTGAGGTGAAGTTTCTGAACCAAATGCTTTGTTTGAGAACCCCATTCATTCTCTTGTCTAGGCCTGAACAACCTGACAGTATCCTGCTCACGTAATACACCATGACATTTCCTTCTAACAAGCACTTGATGCTCTGGCCACCGCAGAGGATAATCAACGGTGCCCTATCTGCAGGCGTTTGGATGCTACTGCTCAAGATTTTCGGCTTTCTTATTCCCCATCTTAAGATTTTTCCCTTTATGGTCCCATTTCAACTGCAATTTACCCCCCCCCCCCCCCGGTTTTCTTAGCCCTCCCCCAACATGTTTTGCTAGGCGTTTATCTTCTAATTTTACGTGTACATGTAAACTCGGAGCGTCACTCCTGTGCTGTTGGCAAGCCCACGTCTAACCAAGCGGCCCACCCCAGTTCATCGGCTTCCATTTGGAGCCCTCGATTCTCCTCCAGATTGATATGCTTACAATGTACGCTCCTTGCTACAGATGGTTCAATAGCTGTTGTGCGACTGTATTTGGTTGCGTCTGATTATCACAAAAGTGTCGTCCACATACCGAACCCACAGTTTCGGATTGATGAGTGGTAGTACCTCCTCCTCCAATTTCTGCATAACCATTTCTGCGATGAGCCCAGACACAGGTGATCCCATTGGTGCGCCTTTCAATTGCTCGTAAAGCTTTCTACAGAATGAGAAATGGCTCGACAAACACAAGTGGAGTATTTTACATACATTTTCGGTCGTCATTTTAACGATTTGTTGTTCACTGGCCATCAGCCGTTCCGTGATGACCGCTATTGCTGTCTGCAAGTTGACAGACTCGAAGAGTGCAGTTACGTCGAATGATATCATTGTTTCATCATTATCTAATCGATCATGGAGGATTCATTTAGTAAGCTTGCACGCTACATATCACTGCACTAAGGATGCCACCTCGCATGGTGGTGAAACGTTTGCGAGAAAACCGCCATGCACGGAGAACAAATGAACAATTGATTCATCAACCCGAGCTACCAGTATTTCGAAACATTTTAAATGCTTAATTGTGCAGGAGTTAAGTTGGTACTTCACAGCCAACGCAGGCAACTTGGCCTGTTGGCACGTAGGCAAAATTAACTTGCCCAAGTTTGACTTCGTTGTAATATAGTACTGTGGTTGTCTGGTTACTATTTCCGCCTTAATCTAGGTAGCTCCCATTTAATCTCATAGGTTTGGACTACTGTTATTATCGAAAACGGTGACAACGGTTTGGCGATGCCAAACGACTTTGAACAAACCTGTGTTCTAATCGCTCATCCGTTTTGCTGCTGTGCGCAGTTTCACCTTGCCACACAAAAGTGTCCACACTCATTCGACCCAGATTCATCGAGGCTATCTACTGCAGTTCATCTTCCGGATACAGCTTGCGTGGATCGCCTTTTATCCCCACAGTGCCGTTTTTGTGCCATTCCCGCAAAAACACAATCGAGGAATTGTCCGAATCACAAACCACACAGAAATATTTGTGGTCTCAAACGAAAGCCAACTGCACGTTACATCTGACGAAGCAGTAACCACAGCTATGGACCGTTCATCATAATAGCTATCATGCACTTGGTGTCCGTATCACTCAGTCGCTCTGTTTGCCGGTTGAACGATCTAGCTGCGTAAACCTGCCCCGCCTGGGTCAGACGCACAGAACGTGACAATCGTGAACATACTGACAAATCAGCTCACACGCGATCGGCAGGAAACCATAAGCGCTCGGGCCTCTATGGGGATACCATCGATTGACGCAACGGATTATGGCGACCAATCAAAAGCTCATGTTACCGCATCCAGATCGACAGTGGTTTGTGGCCTTCCTTCCTGTCATAAAACTTACTGATTGGAATGCAGTATAGCAGTTGCCAAGGCAAGTTCCATGACAAATGTGCCAAGCTCACTGTGAACCAGTTGAAGCTACACAATAGAAAGCCAGATTCCCTGTGATACTGCTCAGTATGCATAGTCATCCTACTGATAAAGATTGCACATTAACTATCTCGGAAGTACGAAAGACTAGTGGCAATATTTAAACAAATAAAGAGCCGTAAAAGCAATTCATTTGTAGAAACTATGACAGAGAGTGGGACCCAGTCATTCCCATCAGGCCCTGCATTAAAACTGAGGAAGAATGCTAAGCAGCGTGCTAAAAATGCATCAGCTGTGGCATTAAACGCCGATACCACCAGTTGCTCAAATATGCTTGAAACAACCATTGCCTATCCAATTGCACTGACACGGTCATAGCCTCTTCCAACTTCCCAGCGGTTCCGAAAATTCAGAACGTCTTCGAAAACAATGGTGGATAGAACTTGGTTGCTGCCAAAGGTGACCGAAAACGTAGACATTCTGCCACTCCTACTTGACCCACAGTAAAGGAATAAGACAAAATTTACCCAAGGAGCCTCCATCGATTGTATACAGAACAGCTGGTCGGTTGAGCTCAACCAAAAGTGCGCGTAGTATACCAGCGATATTTCTCACCAAAGTTCCAGAATCCACATTAAATTCCTCAAAAGTAAAACAATTCGATGGCATGAAGCAGTGGAACACCATATGTGACACTATAGGTGTTGTAACAAGCCTGTCATTTTGACACCCGTTACCCGTCACCCAAACTCACAGCACTACGGTGAACCAAGGCGTCTCCAAATTGTGTTGAATTGTGTTAATGAAACAGAAGCTGTCCTGCTATCGACAGCTCATCACCGGAATGAGTCATGTACCATCCGCCTATTCCCGTATATTTTGTCGCGCGTGCGCAGACAGTTGAAGCAATACTTGGACGAAAACCGTAAAGAATCCCTAGCCAGGATCTTCTTATATCTAGTGTCCCAGAGACGAAAAGTCATGATGAGCACGAAGCGACCACACACGACCAGAAACAATGGCAGTAGATTCGCGAGACACTCTCCATGTGAAACGTCATAGCGCAATCAAGCTAGAGGCTGCGCCGATCGCGAAACTACAAGAGACGTGACCAGAGGATTGTGAAAGTAGCACTTAAATCTAGACAAAGCTCAGCAATGGTAGTAGAGGGATGGTATGCAGGCCGCAGCAGCATTCCTTCTGAGCTCCGGGTCAAAGCAGCATTTGCTATGCAAACACACGAGAGCAGCCACTTAGTCAGAGCAGTGACCTACAAGAGTTCTGATAACTACAATCAGCTGGCCAATGAAACGCGCAAACACATTCCATACGTTGCATACGAAGAGAGAAGCAAAGAGGTAATGGTAAGTTCCATGAATCGGACACGGATGACTTTTCCATCCCCCAACCAAAATCGAGTAGTGGCCGAACTTTCACCGGTAGACGCAACATTTTATCCAAAACACCAATTCTACGATGAATTGCTAAAAGCAGTGAAACTGCATCAGGCAACAAGCCCCTTCGTACTGTAAGGGCACGAACAATCATTCTGAGTAGAACCCGAAAACACATGGCATTAAGAGACGCAGCGTGGCGTGTGTATGGAGCTAACCGTAGCCTTGACAGCCAGGAGTAACTATGCTGTGCATCGTAAACAGTTTACCACACTTGTGCGCGAGACCAATTAGTACACCAGCAGAGTCTAGCGGAAAAGTTTTGTGTTAACAAAAAGCGTCTGTACAGATATGTGTACAGCCTCCGGAATGTAAAACGTGGTGTTCACCCACTAATATCAGCGGAAGGATGTGCTCAAACCGCCCAGAATGCAGTCAACGTTCAACTGCTACAATATGCTCCAAATATCCGACGTGCCCTCAGAATTTGTAAAATAACTGTCCCATTCCGCCAGAAACCAGTATTTACACACGTTACGTTCGGCGACCACTTTGAGAAAGCTGCTGTCGTTGCGCACCCATCGTCCCCTGGAGTTGAAAACATTGCCCCGAAATCGTTGTAGGTAGCAATTACGAGGATAGCTGAACCATTAATGAGATTTCATCAAAGATGCCTGGACGAACAGCAGGACCCTAGCATATGGAGGTCAGGCATCATTACCCCGATGCTCAAGAGTGGTAGCCGTTCAGAGCTAGCTTGTGATTCTCCTCCTGGTGCTTTCAAGAATGATGGAATTGATCATAGCTGAACTGTAATGGGATACTTTGAAAAGTCTAAAATCATAACACCGCAGCAGCACGGATTCCGTCAGCATCGATCATGTACTACCAACCTACTGCTTGCCCGTGGTAGTTGGACTAGGATAGCCGACAGTGGAACCCACATTAATGTGATATACCTAGACTATTCCAAAGCATTCGACCGCATAGATCACCGCATCCTTCTCCAAAAGCTGCAAGCATATGCAGTTAGAAAGCCTGTCCTTAGATGAACCGGAAACTTCCTCTTTCAGCTGCACATTCAAGTTTGAGTTGGAGGTTTTTTTCTGATCTAATAGGTGTTGACTGCGGTGTTTCATAAGCGTCGGTATTGGGGCCGCGGTTATTCTTGTTCTTCATGAACGACCTTACGAGTGTCATCAAGAAGAATTTCCTGTTTTTTGTCGATGACATCAAGATATGACGGACAATCGAGTCTCAGGATGATCACAATATGTTGCAACGAGACTTAAACTGTGCTTTTGAATGAGCAAAGTAAATCTAATTCCGTTTAACGCGGACAAGTGCAAAACCATGCATATTCGTCACCAGCCCACTTACGCATATAAACTTGGAGGCGATATGTTGAACACAGCATTACAAGAGCAAGACCATGGGGTGGTAATCCAAGACGACCTCAGCTATTTGACGCAGTCCTTGATGGAGTCACAAAACCACGAACCAACATGTTGGTCAGTTACGGAGGGCGTTGGGGAGTTTCGCTCCCTCTAGCTTCCCCCAAATGATTAATGCTTATGTGAGACCCCATGTAGAGTATGCGATCCATGCTTGGCAACCTTGGTTTAAACACGACATGGTTACACTGAATACCACAAAGGAACGAGCAACAAAATACGTGAAGGGGTTGTCCCATCTGCAATACCACAGGCGACTAAAAGCCCTTGGAGTGTACAGCGGGAAGATATCGCCCTATACGAATTAATCTCATCCTGGCGTTACAGATTTTGAAAAACCCTGATCACAATTGCCGCCACATACTGAAGCTAAGCTGCCAAACAGAATTGAGGGTTCGCAAGTTGAAAAGTGACACCCACAACAGTGGGCTTGAGTGGCGTTGGAATTATTTTTCCCTTCGAATTTGTGAACCGTGGAAAGTTTTTCCGATTTTGCCATTTCTGAGCCCAATGTTCCCATTTTAAAAATTGGCTGGACGATGCTTTATGCCATTTACAGTACTTGATCTGATTTATATTCATTAAGTGACGACAAGATACAGACAAATATTATGGCCACAAAGCTCACGAAATTGGGATAGAGAAATATACCCAGGCTGTAAAGTGGATAATATGGTGATTCCACAGGTGTGTTTTTCACTTTTGCCTAACTTCATTAAACTAACCTTATTCCCACAAACCATCCCACGGGACTTGTCCAGCCTTGGCTTCTTTGTCCGTATTATACCATTGCTCATTGTTCCAATTTAGCAAATAAACACTCCTATTGTTGGCTTAACTTCTGCATAAAAATCATCCACTGTTAGCTCTTTGTTCATACAATATATTAAGTAAGTAACCTAGATCGTACCCTGCACTGATTGTGTTTGATACACCTCAAACTTTTTAATGCCTTGCAGTCAGATTTGAAAGAAAACATATGCCGTGGACTTTTACCTCTACAAGTGGTCAGTGCAAGCAGAAATACTAAAGATGTAGTTGGTATAGATATACATTTCAGTTTCGCTCGCATTTACGAATCTTGTGTTAAATTAGAACACATACGAGTTATTTGAAGGCTTTAGACCAACTAACGTATGTTTGCTACAGAACGCAACAATAAATTCGAGGTAGTATGGGACTCACGCACTGTAACTGGTTTTTCCATGTACAATAATGCAATATCTGCACCGTTATTCTCCTGTCCTTCGTTAAAATCATAATGCAACACAATTTCCTTAACAAAAATATCCATTTGACTTTGCTCTAGCTTCGACACACGGTGATTTGCAAAGTGCGCGGAGACAAACCCATCAAATTCTTGTGAATTTGTTCTATCAAATGTAACATTCTTCACAAGATTGGAGAAACAATGCGCAGCAGTGAGAATCCATCGGGATGTGATCAGAGTTCCTCCGCACATTCGCACCGTATTGTCTGATGTCGATGTGATCGACAAGCGAACCTGTGCAAAGGTTAAATTAAAGGAAATTGTGAGATCTTCGGTTATGCCAAGCTATTGCTGGCTTAAAGGAACTGTGTCACATATTACTTGTAAACAGTAGTCGCTATGAACAACGTAGTTCGAGATAATGTTTATATGGACAATTCATTTTGGCTGGTTCAAATTTATGGGGAAGGATGTTTACTTGCACATGACCTATGCAATTTTGTCTGAGTGCCACTTATTAGAAGCATCAGGGAAACAGTAACTTACTAAATAAGTGATGTCCATACTGGAGTTTGCACGAGGCACACCTGAGTCGGCGTGATCATTCGTATATTTGCGTATACCTAAGAATAGCACGGGTTCGCAGTTACCCGTGGCATGACTTTGGGTTCAAAGAAAGCTGCGGAATACTATTATACTTAGGAGATACGAAACTCCGTAGCAGTTATCTAGTTAGGCAAACGTTGAATATTACTCGCTCATAACACTGCATTCTACTGTAAATAGGGGTGAGAGAAATTCGGCCAAAACTCGGAATCTATATGCCGTAACCCGAAAACCCCAATTTCTAAGCCAATAAGACGCGACGTCCTCGCATAGCAAAACCGTTAATGGATACCTGAGAGTCTTTATGGAGCGACATCTATGTCAGTGGATGGCAAAAAGCAATCTAAGTTGATAGGGGATGCGTTTCGTGATAAATTTCGCAAAAATATCGGTTACTGGACCAGCATTTGAGGAGTAGGAATCTAGGTGGTTGAAAATTAGAAGTTGTATACCAACAAGCTTGTAATTAATTTCGTACAAGTGTAAACAAACTCACCATCCACGGCCAAGCATTTGAAAAGCTGCTTTCTCCGCCCACAACTTTGAAACCCACGTTCATGTAGAGCGGTCGAATCCCGCAGTTGTGGAACGTCTCTGAATGGAAGGAGATAAAGTGATTAGGCACTCAAACCATGTGAAATTACAATCACTAGAAATAAACATCATCGGTAGTTGGCAAGCAATTATGAGGTCTGTACACAGTTGGATTGGTGCACATTACACAACAAATGCGTTCCAATTAATTTTCACTTGACTAACAAATTAATAGAACAGAATGTGCTATGCGCTTGACCTTGAGTCGTGACCAAGTTGTTTGTCACAGCCGTATAGACTTTATCGTTCACAGATCATGGAATCAAAGGAACGAGAACGTGTGACAAATCACAGTCATCCTCACTTACTTTCTTTGAATAGCAAGGGGAGCATTTAGAAGATATATCATAGAATTAGTTGCTAACCTCGACGAGCTCTGTTGTGGGAGTTGGCTCCGTAACGGAAATTGACTAATTTTGCAAGAGATTGGCTACTGTCTAAATGTGCATCGTGAGAAGGCAAATGGACTAAAAGTGTGCGTTCGAAACCTAGTGTGATTAAGGTGGGCTAGTGCTTCAGCTTCTCAATGTGATTCGAATCCAACGAAATGAATGTGGATACTTTTAGAGTAGCTTGAAGCGCCGGTCGCTAAGTTAGACGGATAGGTGTAGATTTTCCCCACCTCGTTGGGTGGTCTTGTCCACTTTCATGAACCCATGCTACTGATTTGTTTTCATAATTTGCCAAACGTTAACATTCGTTCGATGAGGCGTTTTTGTTACTGATTACCTGAATCGACCGTTCGTTTATTAGTATGTCGCTTTATACTGTAGCCTTAGTTCAGTAACTCAATTTTGTACACACAATCGTGCGTTTGTGACATCGATCCTCTACCACTTCGGATACAACGACTTGGTGTCGTGAACTACCATAGTCTGTCATTTCGCGGACGACTACCTAGAAAAACAAAATTTCATCTTTAGAACGTAATTCCACCTAGGTTGTTAGCAGTTGTTGCTGGTTATAAGGCTGACATTTTGCGCATAGTTATGCATTGATATCCTCGCTGCATCCTGATTGGCCACCTGTTAATGCACGAAGCTTCGATGAAACAGTCTCGCTGGTTGGCGTGGGATGTTGTGACGAAGGAAAGATCTTATTATTCCTCAAAGTAAATTTTCCATTTGCCTCAAGGACTGCACTCATGAAGACCGTTTCGTTCCGTGTTCATTTGCTGGATGATACTAATTCGTGGCCACCAATCAACCGATTCTCGTTTCCTTCGCTTGTTGTATTACTGAGATAGATGAAGGCGTAATTGTAATGCATCATCTAGGGAGAAGCACAATGTTAGCAATTCTAATACATTTTCGTCTTAATGTAGGCACCTACGGATTGTATGGCTAAATAATAATATTACGAAACCGCACTTAAGTGAGCAACAGCAAAAGATTATGCAGTTGTGCAGCAAAGCTTCTTGGAAATGCTGCTAGATAATTGAAAAACCAGGTTACCTATTAATAAGCCACATATTTAAAGCAATAATAAAAAGATACTTGGCCGTGACAATAAGTAAGAGACATCACATGAACGACGGAATACCGCATAGTGATTAAGTGTCAATCTTGCGCTAAAAATTCCTTAGAGAAAATAGACGGAACTCAAGCCAGCGTTCAGATCATCATGCACATCCTCTGTGAGCGCAAAGCGCATGTGAGCGGAAGCGCATGTATGTTGGGTAAAAAGGCTTGTTCTAAATCTTAGAAATTCAAGTAAGCCATGGCAACTCTAAAATGAATCTGGTGGTGCAGCAGTTAGCCTCAATTATCCCAAAGTCTAATAGATCTGCTGTAAAATTACTATCCAATTGAGTCAAAATTGCAGGCAATGTGGTTCCAAACTTCGCATACTATAGTTACCAAATGATGCAATTTCGCTTTACCGCTCATCGAACTCAGCACATCTCATTTTTTTGAAACATTTGACTTTGGGGAAATAGATTTCACATGTACACCGGACATCTAAGGGCGCTATAGCTGTAAGCATATATAACAACCAAATCGTTGCAGTACTTTAAATTTTGACATGGAGGCGCACTTCCTTAACTATTTCTGCTTGAATGACTTCCAAATTCTCACCATAATCTTCACGTGAAGTAAACAGAGTGATTGAAAATTCATACCACAACTTATATAAGCCTTGCTTCTGCCAACAGATGGTTACCACTTTCCTTTCTTCCTTCGCATAATAATAAAAAATCTAGGAGTACGCAGAACCTACCAAGTAAGTATCGGTACAACATGACTGGTCTATTAATTTTGTTCATGATGTAGTGCAACCCACCCTACCCAGCTGTCTGGCAATAAAAGCTGTCTTCTTAACATCGTCACAAAGCTGCATCGGCTAATGATGACAACCAACGATGAAGCTCCAGCCGAGTTGTAATTGCCACTTTTGCAGGATCAGAAGTTTTCTGCTAAGCTGGAACTAAATGATCCGAAATTGACTTGTAAAAATTGAGTGCAGCGGCATATAATCGCACGGAACAGTCACGAGGTAAGTTTGCAGGAGTTGGTATATTACTGAGAACAGATGGTCCGCCAAATTGCTTCTAATAGTTGCTCAAGACTGAAGAATATTCAACGTGATGACGACCAACTAGCACATAATGCTAAACAAAAAAGAGTCAGAATAATGACGGCGCACTTGTTTTAATCCACATCGACACATGGACAGATTGGACATGGAAGTGCGGAGGAAACCTTTCGAAGCTATATCTCACATTCAAGCAGATCCCCAGAAAACGGTTCCACCGATGGTCGTACTACTTTACATGAACAGCCGTCTAGAAATACATATGTATATAATAATACAGCAAATTACTATTAAATGACAAAAGACGTCAAGCACCCCATTGAAGAACACATTGTAAAAATCGTACAACTGACTGCTTTAGGTTGCAGAAAATTATCAGACCCTGTCCTTTTTCCGTCTAGCATTGTCAAGCAATTTACTATATATTTAATTAAATATTTCTACTCTAAACGACAAAATTGAGTTCCTGTCAAGAAAGGAAGACCATCATAATGCAGAATGTAAACTCTACCTCCTTCATCTTGCCTGATGTTTAATAGGTAGCGTCATACTTACCATGTCTATTAAGAGTAGAACGCTTACCAGGTATTAAACAGGCAGCCCGTTTTCTGCATTTACGTGTCGCCACAATGAATGCACTTGGGCACTTGTGTTTTCCGAAATCACTTAGATAGACATGCTTCCAGGAATCGTCGACACACCGCTTATAACGATACCGAATGCAGCTGCGTCTAACACACTTGGACCATTTTGACCATTTTCCATAGCGATCCACGTTGGATACCAAATGAAGCAAAGGAGAATCTTGACTTTCGTCCTCTACTTGTTGGCGGATATTGGTCTACGATCAGGTGCAGAAAACCAAGAGAAGAAGTGAGAAGCACAGGGCGTGGTTAAAGCCAGTAAAGTAATAAATTTGCAAAGTATGATGCGTACAAACACCTTATACCAATACACCGATTCACTAAGCGACGAATGGTACTGATTTGTATATCCGACCAAAGTGATTCTATGTAAATATGTCACTGTTGCGAATTCAATAAGGAAAGCAGTCCAGCCAGATTGCCATTAGATGACATCAATTTGGAATACAACTTCACTAAATTGTCGGTGACAATGTAGTAATCCAAGAAGATTTCTGCGCCTAATGGTCTTCTGATAGAACTAAGCCACTGTAAAACAATGTCAAATGTGCTAAGCTCTCCATTTCCTCGAAAACAAAACATGATGAAAACACCACCCAGGCTACAAAGACCCAGTGACTGTAATTTCTCCAGACGTGTTGCCAGTTCATTGTTTTATTTTTCCCAGGTTGGTCACGACTGCGCAGATTTGCTGAGGTGCTGGTTTACAGCTTCTAAGATAAATAAGTATACTGATTTCCGGCGAATTGCCACGAACCCACTGGCGGTGAAAAGGGTGCCGTACTCAAAAAAACGATTATACATGTTGACAGCCTATTATATATAACAGCACCATAATACTCTCTCGATCTCTCCGCCGCACATACTACTGCGGTCTCCTTCGTATGCCTAGTCGTGACATACTCTTGGTCTAGCGCAATGTTATCCCTGAGGTGTTCTCAATCGCCGAGAATGATGCAGAATTACTACGACGCTCAAACGCAGTGTTCCATGCATCCTGATGGATAGATGATGGGAATCAAATCTATGCCAACATGCGTGGACCCACAAGGATACCAGTAGTGAGCCAGCCGGAAAGGAGGTAACGTTTGAGTTTACCGTTAAATTGTCGTTTATTGCGCACTTACTACTCGACATGCAAATGCTCGTAACACGGAAAGTTTGGCTGTTATTCTTACCGACAAATGGAAATGGTACACATTCACTTTATTAGAGTTCTTAAGGATAAATGTTCTCTCATTGGAATGGTGATGTATGATGCACAATTGGTGAGCCCACCTGATTCCAGTGCATTGGCGCGAACATTCCGCAGTTGTTAAGGTTCCGCTGACTACAACCTCAATAACCAGGCGCATGAATACATGTTCCCATGCACTCTAGGAGTTTTCCTTCTTAGGTGGTGTCAGTATCCCCACACACTGACTGGAGCTCAAATGCAAGGGAACACGTTGGTTCTTCTCGAACGACAGTGCTTTGCAATCTCAATCACCAGGGTCACACAATCCACGCAGACCTAGTGGTATTGAGTGTGATCTCGAATAGTCACCAAGCGTCCATGTGAGTGTTGCTCATGTGCAATGTCCGCACAAACATAGACCCTCTTCTAAATGCCCAGTTGAAAGGCCCCAAAGTGTGTGTGTGTGTGTGTGTGTGCATGCATGTATGCATATGCGTGCTTATGTATGTGACGGATTCCAAGGAACACTCATAAATCCCTTCGATTGGTCGCCCATCCTCAAGCATACCCATCTTAAATGCCAGCGGTAATGGTGACGTCGCTAGCGTACATGGGTCGCGTTAACTCCTGGGTCCAAGCAGTTGCTGCTTACAATATTCCACACTCATTCGTACATTGGATTGAACAATTGGGTGTAGTGATCAACAATTATCCCTGGAGTTCAAGTACCCTACAACTATTCCTCGCTTTGGAATGCAGTGTAGCACTTCCGTGTTCAAGACCCAACAACTTTTGTTGCAAGTGTCCACACGTTGGCTCGTACGTGTAAGCTGATTAATCCCGGCAAGTCACTGACTAGCGAATAACATGCTGATGTTGATGCTACATGTTCCATTTCATATATTAGTCATGCGAATAAGTGTAGCTATATTTTCCGCTGTATATCGCTTATACAAAAGTTAGGATAAGCCAGCTATTGTGGAGATAAGGTGCGGAAGAGCAAACGTTACTGCTACAATTTAAATTAGAAATGCCCAATCATCTAGATTGATCTAAAATTAGGTTAGTCCAAATATGATGGTACGGTAGTGTTTACATAAGTATTTAATTGGAAAATAAATCCACGCACAGAAGCAATTGATTTGTTGCGAAGAATAGCTGCAACCAAGATGTATGATGACAGATTGTTAGTAAATTGTAAGTGGTAAAATTCTGATGAGAAATCCAGTTCACATGGGAATATCATACGTCCAGTTAACCACCTTATCTGCGTCATTTGCAGAGGCTTTTGATACCTATTATTTGTCTATCCTCATATGATTAACTATGCAACGCTCCATGTTTGCATTGCAAATCACACCATGGGTATGGAGATTTACTGGTTCATTGCTTTCTCAGCCATGTCTAAGTGGTTCCATTCCAAATCCCGTTGTGAAGATATCAACATGCCCAGGTGTGTCACGACATACTCATTTGAGATATTAGATAATTAAATGTTGTGCAAGGTACTTCTTGTAAGTTTGCTAAACCAGTTTGCACACTCTTTCAAGAGCCGATGATAGAACAGGGAGCAGCGGACTTTTCCACATGTGCATTTAGTACATTTAGTTATGCATCATTCTACCTGGTAACCATACTCACGGCATTTGATTCCGTATTTCCATATCGGCTCATCACAGTCGTATTGGTTACTTATAATTCTACGTGCGATTTTCTAAAACTAGAGCAATATGGCTGTTCTTCTTTCATTCAATCCAAACTCATGCACATACGTTGTGCTATGATTCATGACGGTTATTATTTCCTCCTCCAGTTTGTGGTAGTCCATACACAAGTGGGAACAAATGCTCGTTCGCAACACTGCAGTAATGTAACTCGAACCAAGGACCTTGGTGTGTCAACTGATATCTCACGTTGAATGACTAAGTGGAAGCCATTTAGAAACACTTATAAGCACCACACTTCAGCCTGACAGACTGATGGCATTTTCACTCGCGTAACACCATTATCTGCTGGCTCGATGTCTACATGGGACTCGCCTAAAGTACAAATCCCGCTAACATCTGTTCGTGTTTCGATACATTCCCACTTGACAGATGGATGTTATTACATTTCATCTCGTGTGACACCGTGACTTATCAGGGGTTGCAATATGAAGTAAATGTATCTCATCTCAAGTGTCTCTATACGCCCCATTGTATCGCTGCCGCCTTCAGGTAAACGCACTGAGATTCAGACAAGTCATCTAGGTTGATTCCCGGAGCAGCGGCAATACGTTGTAACATCCGAATCGAAATGCATGGGCATAGGTAGTATTGTAGACACTGATGGATTGGTCGAGATATGTTAGCGGTCCGAACGAATGACCAGGGGGAAATAAATAGTAACACATGACGGACTGCTTGGTGGTTCTACCTCCCTGTTGATTCTCGCTTACCTCGGATAATAGACGATTAGAACCGGATCTGGTTTTACTTTACGACACGGATAGCCTGCAGTGGACATAATCGCATCATTTCCCTGCTAACTTGAAAAATTGCTTACGCCATCTCCGTCATTCATTTTGGTGTCATCCTGATTCTATATACCGCGTGTAAGTCGGGCTTGGGTGTAGTTTCATTTTAGAATGATTAACTACCGACTTGGTGCAATGTGGTATCTTTATTGCACCTGCATAGAATGGATAAGCCACAGGTAACCTAACTTTTTTAGGCTTATTTAACCCGGTTGTATTTCGCGATGACTTCATGTGTTGCCCATTACGATATTGTACTCATCATGATCTATGCTATGCTATTCTTGCTACCTCCGCAAGCGGCGTCTAGTATGGTTACATACCGAGAGTGAGCTATGACATCTTCATTTTCGTATTATTATTCGGCCGTGATTCATATCACTATGTCAGCTCCATGGTATTGCTCACCATAACTGTAGCTTGACTAGCTGCTCAATGCTAACTTGCCTGATGCTTAGAGATCCGGTGCATCGCAGAATAATGGTTCAGTCCATCCATGAGCTCATTCGTAATTGATGTGAGTGCGGTATTTCCGAGCGATTTGTGTGCTTGCTACGGAGCAATGCTAGGGTGGCAAATTATTGTGAATGTTTCCAGTTCGATGGATACGTTTGAATCGAAAGGTTATCATCACTTGGCCGTTTACAGTACGTGTAAAATGCCAAATTTGACATTTGTAACACAATGCTCAACGATTGTCCTTCGTGTGACCACTTTGGATTATGCATTCGAAGAGAAATTTCCCTGGAAAATCTGTGTCAAGTGAACAATCCCGACAATTAACCGACTAGCGATTATCACGATATTGCCATTCCATATTCCACTCCGCAGGCTAGTGATGAGAGTGAGTATAGTTATAATTCCAGTTATCCCTCAGCCATACTGAATTTACCGGGGGCCTATGAAAACACACGTATTAACCGGATGGAAGGCAGACGTGCAGAGACGCCTACCAGAAGTTGCATTGCACATGGCCAATCTTTTGAATGGATTAAATAAAAGGTTGCATCTAACGGGAATGGTACGTCAGTGTGTCATTATATAACATCGGAAATGAATCGGCGCATAGCGACAATGGTTTTATGAGTACCGAATGGGCTGCACCTGGAACGTACGATATAGACCGTTAGCAAATAGCTTATGGCCACAGTAGAGTACAGGTCGGTAGGTAAAAACGGTTGAGTACTTGGACATTTGCACAATAAATGTGAACACTGTTTGGAAAGTCGCATGTTTGACAGTGGGCAGCGGGACTTAGTTGATGTCACTTGTCAATACCAAAGGTTGCGCATCAATCGTTCTTTGAGTAGGTGCACATGCCTCGGGCAGCACATGACCGAACCGGTCGGAGACACAGAGAGCCAGAAGTGGACACTGTATCGCATTCGACATGCTGTGTGATCTCCCATATCAGCTACTCAAACCAGACTGTACATGTAGAGGGCAACACCTAAGTGCACACTTTTTCACTGTACCAATAGTCTAGTCATCATTCTACCTAGCAGTTGCTTTACTATTGCCACATCGGATTCCTTCAAATATGGATGCCCAACATTTAAGGCAGTCACGTCTAAATGTGGAAGAAAACATCAACCGTTCGTATGGGGTAGTTATTCTCATACCTGCAAAAGTGGTTGTTAGCCTGACCTCCAAACGAAACCCAAACACGTTTGTCGTACCATTGATGATGATGTCTAATGTGTCTCTATCCACTTTGTGCCAGCTCACACTGAAGTTTGCATAAACGCATGTACATACGTTGCATTCGAACTGCCATTGGACAAAGATGACGCCAATCTATGTATATATGTATACCGAATGAATTCCACGAGGATCTTCATACCGCTTTTGTACGGTTAACTTGGTGCAGTAGAACGACATTCGAGCAAACCGAAAATAATATTACCAGAACATGAGGAAGGCGAGTTTATGACAAACTCATGTTGACTTCAGGTGTTGCGAATCCAAGGCAAATTTGATCGATGCGAATTCCGTGAACTACTCAAAATGGCGGTTTCTCAGGTGCCGGAGAAGGCACAATTGTACGCGGAATAGAAGCACCATGAGTATGTTCCCATTCAATTTACTAATCCAGGCCAATAAGGCAGCGTATGTGGTACGTTTGCCTGCGTGATGAATAATCTTGCATTTCAGAAGTAGATGTTGCTTGAGCTCCCCTGCGTGGATGCGCCTGATGTGAATGTTGACAAGGTGCCTACCTGTCTATTACCCACTACATCGTCCATACTGGCCCCAGGAGACAGTTGGTCGTCGCTGGAGGGGACGGAGTGCACCGTCCTCGTGACGGTGCTAGGCTCAAAGAGTGGTTTCATGCAACCTGTGTGGAACGGGCTACGGTCCAGCCACCGCCTCGTGTACGTTTGATGTGTATGAATTCCCAATTAGGCTGGAATGCTTCCGTTCTGCTTGTTGAAGGAGTGTGGGCCGGCTCCGTTGATGAAACGTGGCTCCCATTCGCATGCCTCCCGGTCTTATTCCGTCGGGTTTACACCGGATATGGGGTGTGTGGATGGAACTATGGGTGGTGCAGCGCAAGCCACCCATGGTCCCTCTGTAGGCGCAGGCGTCCTGTGACTGTCCCCATGGACATCACAGTGACAGGCAAATCCGGATACGGACGCCGCCTAATCATATATAACAGCAACCAAATGAAAATGAATCTACATCATGCTAGCTTATGTCTTATAAGAGCAGCCGAAAATCTTGGTCAACAAACTAACGGCTTATTTGCCTTAATTCCACATCAGCTCATGGCTAGATGAGACTTGGAAATGTGGACGAAACCTGTCGAAGGACTACTGAGTATAAAAGCAGATCCCCAGGAGACTGTTCCACAGATAGTCGTATTACTTCCATTGAACTGATGGTTATGTTTACATGGCTTCCTATGCTCTAATTTCCACCTTTATGTTACTCATATATATGTAGAAAACGCAAAGTTACTCTGGGAACCATATTGTGAAGTGCAACCAGTTTCTTTGTCATCTGAATAGCTGTACTTTCTGATAAAACAAATCATCTGGTCGGCATCCCGCACCGTCGAGCAATATACAATTTATTTATTTAATTAAATATTAATATCAGTTATTTATTGGTACGAATGGTATACCTTCCGCGATTTCCCCAGGTCACTTAAGTTTAATGTCTGTGTTGAAACTCCTGCTATGCCTACATTAAAAACATTCTTTCAGAACGTGGGACATTTAAACAATGGTTCCGCAAGTGACAACCTCACAGAACAGCTTACTCTTCAAGCTCTGTGATCACTGGTAATTAAAGCTATTTTTGCTTATCCCGTAGGTAGTCTAACAACCTAACGCCACGATATAACAAACTTGTTCAGTATCAGTAATAGGCTTGAAACTGTTGATATTGCGATTGGAATCCATCAATTTGGTGCTGGAAGACCCAGAAAACTTATCAACTCAATTCACCGCATCACCCGTCGCGAGCATCAAAGATTCCGTACCGGAAAGTGGGTGATTTCATTGCTAATTAGTCATATCTGATAACCTATAGAGCACTGTTTTTATGTCAAAAGGTTTCACTGATGCATTGCCTGTGCTTTCACTAAAGATGTCGTGACATGTCGATAAATCGGTTGTCATGAAGAGCAAGGGATATGATGGTTAAAAATGGTCGACTCGTAGTGTTGTTCTAAGTGGAGTCAACTGCCGATTAACTAGGACCTATGCAAAGGGTCTCATATGTTTAGTCGGTTATGTGACCTATATGCTTAGTGAGCATATATTTCAAATAGTCTGCCCATATCTTGACACTGGGCCAGCTACCATTCACGCGTGTGATGCATGTGAATGTATTTGCTCGTTTGCGTAGACTAAAATCAATTCTATGTATATTGGTGCGTACTCAAAAGATAATGCTTGTCACACACTGCTCCATGTGTTCTTCTCAGTGGTATGAAATCTCCGAATCCCATCAAGTGTACAGTGTGAAACATCCTTATTCTGTGCAAGAGCGCAAGGCAGCCTACCAGGTTTAAAGAAACCAACTAAAGTCTGCCACTACCGGCTGAAAACAGACCACAATAAAACCTGAATGACCAACAGTTAGTGCTGGCCAAGGAACATAACTAGTTGGAATGATGGCGAAAGTTTTATTCCGGGTTATGTTAGTAAGTGGCCGCTTTTCCTACTTGTGTCACAACAGCGCCAAAGCGATTCCTATTTAAATACCAAGTAACGATGAGTGATGTCATTTGTAGCACATGTTGGGCCTCATGTTCTCCGGGAACCATCGTCACGCAAATCGCGTCCTCCTCAAGTGTAACTGAGATCAAAGCACGCGAATTGACTGTAGTGTCGTTTTAATGTATCCGTGTTGTGTTTAGATTGTGAGACGCTATTTCAACGTGGATCGTGGTTCGCTTCAAGTTCAACCTTGGAAAATTCGATCAAGTGAGGTCGAAACGCGCCATAAAGTTCCATGTTTAACAGCGTGCAATACCCGGTTTTCATCAGATGTATAGATATTTGTAACTATGCAGCTATTATGTTGGTCAACAGACACGCTATTTCTTGTAGGTTGTGGTCATAGGTTAAGCGGTTGGGACATAACAGCCTGGTGGAGCTCGTTAGACTTTATCACCTTGAGCTATTAAAAATCATTTACGCATTCTCACTTTAATAAGCATGGTACAGATCCCATCGTCTTCTATCTGGGCGTACAATACAAAACACTTTAGTCCGTTGAGCACACAGGGAAGATAAAGTGCACTAGGTTACTGTACAAACGGCACAGACTCTGTAAGTTGACTTACCACGAGAGATTCTGTCATACCAAAAGTTTTCATTGCCAGTCCGCTTCTGTCTTTCAGGCTAACCAACTTCAGCTTCTTATTTGAAAGTACTCCCTGATGACGGAATACGTTATGTTCACTGCGTTGGAGATGAAGCGAACAGGCATAGAAAAGCTCACAGACGCTAAATGTAAACCACAATAGATTGTGCATAATCTCGGTGAGACAAATCAGCTTGTTTATTTTATACTTCCCAAACCGCTACAGTCTGTGTTTGAGGCAAAATTTATAAGTCACATACCAGGTGTGTGCAACTTTAGAAGTACCACCGGAAGTCTCACCGTCGCTGTGGCCCAAACATTCCCGAGAACGCAGGAATCTCACTATACCGTATGAATAATAAAGGTGAAGGCTTAACCTTTGAAAGATTCACAGAATTTGAATTAGATAGTTCTGCATTTTCGATAACTGGTGGAAGCAATATTTTGTGTGTGTGTGTGTGTGTGCTCGGAATGACATTCCTATGATTCTGGCTGCCAATTTCGTCAGCTTGTTTGGCACGTGGACGCTGTTTTATTTGCAATTTACTTTGATTCCGCTGTTGTCAAATAGTAGTGATTTCTTGTATCTAACTTATGTGCACTGTTTTGATCTTACCTAAACTTTCACTCCGTCTGAAGAATAGAACTGTTGAGAAGGTAACAAGCATCAGGAGCTAAGTTATTTGAAGATAAAAGTGCAACAACGGTCTTAATCACAGATCTTTGTACTAGACTAAAACTGTACGGATCTTACTTATACTGCATACACACGGAATCGCCGAAAAGTCACACGCCAAACAAACCAGGTCAACAGGAGCCTGTATTTACGAAAGGTGACTCAGGTGTTTTGGACTGTATCTGTGGCGCTGAATTTATCGTAACTGGTTGGCGATGGACACTTTGTCATTTTGATGATATATTCACCTGTGGAATGAAACCGATCCAAAACTTATCAAGATTTTGTGAGAAAAATTTTCCGGGAACTGATACTGACCGATGACTTTTACCCGTTGCTATATACCCATAACCAAATCAATATAAGCTCATCGGCTTCTATCAATCAGACTGACAAAGCACTCATGTGTCCCCTAGAGTTCTTCGGCAGAGTTCCACACAACAGCTTATCTTCTTCTGGGACATTTGTTGTTAGTACCATACAAGTACAAACTGCACGGCAAATCCTACCACATACGTGGAGTCATCTAATTAACGAGAGAAACAATACAATCCATACCAGATACGTAAGGATATCTCCTCCTTAAAAACAGTTGCCGCTGTCCAAATATTGTAGCAATTGGCAGTTGTGTGATAGCAGTTGTTTTACCGAGTTTTCATCCAGCATGTACCTAACGGTTTCGACCGCCTTGACAACTTTCTCGGATATTGTGTGAAGTACTCCTGTTGCTAACAACTAGAGAATCTATATGTATAATAATTTAGCAGCCTTTTATTTGCAGTCTGAGGCGCGTTAAACATGTACATTCGGAGATTCAGAGGTTAACGTCGTAAGGACTAAAACTACTCCTTTAAGTAGTTTAACTACGCTTCGGGGTGGTAGGTTCTTCCGTATTTGTAACGATGTTTGGGACACAAGTGGCCAGCTGACATGCAATCGAAAGCAAAAGGAACGCAAGTGGACCGAAGACAAAATCTAACCATTTAGTGTAGGGGTTCCCAACCTTTTTGAGGCCGTTACCCACAAAGCGGGGTTACTTTAAGCAGTTACCCCAAAACATTTTAAAGCCAATTAGTTAGCAACCATTGCATTTTTTCTTTAAATTACGGCAAATGAATACCATATGTAATTACTTTCGATCGTGCAAATAAACGAGACCCCATTGTAGTGCGAAGAAAATCCATGAGTTTCTTTCATTAAATACCGCGTTCAAACTATTCTTGCTGATGTCCTGTACGCGACTTTGATGATGCTGTTAGAAAGCGATATCACACTTATCCTTAACGCATGTTGCTGTACACCTGCAATTCTCAACATTTTTGTGGCTCTCACAAATGGGGATTGCTATAATCATCCCGCCCCCCCCAATTTCCGTTTCAGGTGCTAACTAACGAATAACTATCGCGCTGTTTTCTTCTAAGTACGGGAACTGATAGCTATTTGGAATAACTCTCGATAAATAAAGGAAAGAAAACAGTTTTTTGGTACAACATTGTATGTAATCAAGAGGCGATATACATCAATGGGACGGTTGATATTGCTTAGTGCTAAGAATCTCTGATATATTTGGTTCAGTTTCTGCTAATGTACCTCGGAAGTCGTGCTCCAGGTTCATTCGACTCCTTGCTTTTGTTTTCATTGAAATCATTGTCAAAAATCCATTTTCACATCTATAAGTTGCTGCAAATGGAATCAATATACCCAATGCTTTTTCCGATAGCAATGGATACTCACCACCCATCTTTATCCAAAATGCTACCATTGGTGTGCTTTGGAAATCAATTTTGTAATACATTATCTTCGCGCATTCCTAGGGATAGTGCTTTGGCTTCGATGGAAGTATCCGGAAAGATTTCCTCATCCACTGAACTGGGTCTTAGCACTCTGGCATTTATTTGGCGATTTTCCAAATCAGGAAAATATTTGCTGATGGAAGGGACCACTGATAATAAGTGACAAGTTATGTCATCTGTGAAAGTGAATGTTTCATTTCTTCCAGCGAGCATCATTGATAGTTCTGGAAACATTGACACATCGTCAACTGTTGCTCAGCGTTGGTAAAGCTGCATTTTATAAATAAAACTGGCAACCTTATACTGAGCAGTTAAAATAGTAACCATATTTCCTAGCAAGCTGAGATTCAGTGCAATTATTTCTTGGAAGAAATCTGCAAAATATGATAGTTTAGGAATAAATACGTTGTCTGTTAGCATGACGTATCACGCGTTCACCTTGCTCTCATGCAACTCCTTTCTTTCAAGCAACATTGCAATTCCTTCTCGAAGCTCTAGCACTCGGTTCAACATCCTGTCTCATGATAGCCAACGTACTTCCATGTGCAATAACAACACGTCGAATTTGCCTCCAAATCCATTGCACCACTCTTTGAAAACTCTTTTATAAGTCGCACTACCGCGGATGACATTTATTATTTTTACTAATTTGGTTAACGTGTTCAGCAAAACAGGCTGAAGAGTTTTCACTGCTAAAGCATAACGATGTATTATGCAGTGGCTGTAGATACAGTGCAGAGCAAATTTTTTGACTAAGGTTTTGAATCCAGAACGAACGTCCAAAATGGATTGTGCTCCATCTGTACAGACACCTACCAACCTCGACCACTGTAGATCCTTTTCCTCGACAAAATCCTTCACTGTTCGAAAGACATCTTCGCCATGTGTAGTTGTGCCCAATGATTCTGAGTACAAGTACTCTCCTTTGAAGCGGTCGCTTTTTATATACCGAACATAGACCAATAGCTGGGAACAGGATGTAACGTCGGTCGACTCATGTAACTGTATTGCGAAGAAAGGACTTGACTATATTTCGTTGAGCACCTTATTCAAAATATTCTTGTTCATATCCTAGATAGGACTTTTGATTGTGTTGTTAGAAGGTGGTATCATGCTTATCTTTTCTACATGTTTCTCTCTAAGAACGAGCTTCACGGTATCCATTATGCAATGTTTTATGAGATCTTCCCCTATAGTATTCAGCTTCTTGGTTTTGGCGATTCGGAGAGTGATGCGGTACGACGCTTCAAGACCAGCTTCAGTTGACTGGAAATAGGAGCCCGATGTATCCAGGCGCGAACTTTGAGCGCAGCTTCTTTCCGTTCGAAGAATGTAATATATTTTCCTACAAACTGAGAATGACTTCGGTCGAAGTGGTCTTTCAATTTGCTGGGTTTAATGCTCTCCCTTGTGAGCACATTGATGCACAAAACACATTGCGACTTATCAACAATATTATCAACAAACTTGGTGAAGCCCTATTGCAGAAAAGCTCCCTTGTATGACCGTCTTTTTTCCAGAAGACATGGTTCCTGCAAAAAATTAGGCAACTAAATGATATATATAAATATGAATATTTTGCTGATTTAATGTAGGTGACATTATCGGAAACGTATTCAGATAAACTCAAAACTAATGAATTAAACCACACAACTGCTATGGTTTCTTGTCAAAAACAACTGTAGATGAATGTGATCAACCCAACACCCAGTGGTCACTGGCGTCCAATCCGCTGATTCTGCATATTTTTGTGACCCAAGACACGGTGTTCTGCGCACTTTCAACCGCCTGCTTTTCTCATTCAAGGCATCATATGGGATTCATGATCAAACATGAACAGATATCAGTGCCTTCTCACGTGTTGCATTCCTCCATTCCAACTCATTCCTACATGAAAACTTGACACCACTACTCTGTAACGATACGTGGTGAACACTAATCGCCCGTTGTGACCCTTCTAACCGACAGAGGCGTCATCTGGTTGCAGTGCCTAATGACTGGTCAATGATGGCTAATCCGAAGTTCACAGGTATTTAGCGACATGTTTTGATACGGATGATTTTGTCAGTAAACTAGTATAGCAACCGATTGATGACCCAATCCTCCTACTAATATTTACCTCCTGCAACTGCCATTTTACCCCTTTGGGATAATTGCCCCCCGGTTGGGAACCCCTAACTTAATGAGAATTAAAGTCGACAACCAACGTACCGAGAACCTGCTAACAAGCAGACCCTCGGAAGAGGCCGGTTAGTTGAGAGTAACTAAGCACAAGAGCACGCATCCGCAGTCAAAGTCACGACGACAAGAAGGGACCGAGGTTCCGGCGGAGTTTAAAACAACATGCCGAGCAGCGCTACACACTCCGCGTGCACCTTTCGAAATGTCGCCGCATCATTACCGTGGCATAGGAATGTTCAGAAGCACTGTGTTACACAAGATTATGGACAAATTCGGACTCCAAAAATGGATAAAGGTCGCTGTGTTTGCGCTTCTTGCCTACTGGTACAGAGGCTATTTTGCACAGAT